AGGACTTTGTGCTAGGAAGTTTACTTTATTTCTCTAGTTGAGGTATCTTTTATGAGAATTAAAATCTTTTCTATCTTTGGTAATTTCTTCTTACTATTTTCTAAATAAGAGATGTATTTAAATTAACCATGATATGTCACTTGACTTCTTGATGTTATGAGTTGAATTTTATGATGTACAATTGACTTATATTTATGATTTGTATATCTTATGATATGATTGAATCATTAATGTAAAAAAAAAAATTGCACTATTGTATTCTTCTCTTCTCTTTAACAATAATAAAAGGGGAGAAAGTCTTGCTAGCTTGCATATCGTAAAAGGAAATAAAAATTGCTAGCTTTTAAAAGGAAGTAAAAATTGCTAGCTTGCACATTGCAAAAGAAAGCAAAATTACTTGGTTGCACATTTCAAAGAAGTAGCAACTTTATCTTTCACATCTCAAGAGAAAAGTGCTAACTTTTCAACAGAAGCAAAACTTGCTAGCCTTCATACTTCAAAGAGAAGTAACACTTGCCAACTTATTAGCTTGCATATTCTAAAGTGATGTAAAATTCATTAAATTGCTAACTTGCAAGTCTTAAAAATTGCTAATTGCACTTCTCCGTTTTGTTGATGACAAATGAGGAGAAGATATGATGAAGTTTTAAAATTTTGAATAATGTATGCAATGATGAATATAATGACTTGCTACACATGATTATTTTGATATATATAATATGTTAAGGTTATATCAATATGGCATATTGATAGAGGGAGTTTAGTTAAACTTCGTCATCAATTGGTTACTATCATTAAAAAAGGGGAGATTATTGAATTTTGGATTTTGATGATTAAATCAATTAATGAGTTTGTGATCTAATTTGCGTTTTGAGTGATGCAGTACTAGTTTCGATCAAAGAGAGGTAAATTGATTAAAGCGAGAGGAATCAGACGTTGGGCCGGAGTTGAACATGTCAAGAGATTGGACATCAGGATAGAGGATCGATCGATGTGCCGGCAGAAGGACTTCGTGCCGTGAGTTCGGGTATCGGGCTGAAGGATTGAACATTGAACTAAGGAGATTAGAAGTTATGGGAGTTAATATACCAATTGGGCAATACACCGAAGGAGAGAACGATGCGTCGAAGGATCGGACGAAGCATCGGAAGAACTAATGACATATCATACAACATATAATTTATGCTAATTTATCTAGATCAAGTTAGTTTAGGTCAAATTGAGTCGGTATTTGGATGAAATAATGTCAACTCAATTAGGAGCCCATTGGGCCTGAGTTGAGGCTGTTTTGGGCCAAGTGAGGCCCATGCAGCAACCCTCAACAAGCCCAAGCGATGGCACCGCTTGGTACTCGGCCTCCTAGGTTGTCTAGGCGATGGTACCACCCATACATTATCTTCAAGACTATGTTAGGTGGTAGTACCACTAGATTGGGCGGCGGTATCACCTAATGTCGATGTCAGACTAAGCGATGGTACCACCCATTGACAAGTGATGACACTTGTAGTTGTTAGTCTATAAGGCGGTGGTAACGTCAGTACCCTGAAAACCTAGGATGAGATCATTTTGGCTCTAAATTTAAATCCATTTATGGTCTATAAAAACTTCACTCATCCCTGCTTAGTTAACATAAAAAAATTGAGAATAAAAATTGGAAAAAAAAATAGTTATAATTTTATGAGAATTCCTCTCTTCTAGCTCTAAGTGTTGATTTCAATTTAAGAGAGAGGTGAGTGGGTTGTAAAGGTTATCTCCTAAATCTATGAAAATGAGAAAAGAGTTGTAAGAGGGTAATTGGTCTTCACCTATTAAAGGAAGACCGATAGTGAACGCCGATGGCCTCAATAGAGGAGGAATCAAGAGTAGACGTAGGTTATGATGATCGAACTACTATAAAATTAGCATGCACTTTCTTGTTGCTCTTTATTACCGTTGTTTTCTGTCTTCATTGCTTATCACTCTTATTCTAACTCAAACACACTTTTAATATCTTTTCCGGTATGTTTTTATAAAGTCGAAAGTTTCGAATCGATTTAATTTTTATGATAGCACTAATTCACCCCCCCCCTCTTAGTATCATTCATGATCCTAACAAAATTGCCTAAAACACTTAAGCAAAGTTTTTCTATTGGTGTATCTCAATCTGGCTCTTGGTTTAGTTCTTCCATAAGAAAGAGATTATACCCCAATTTATAGGAATAAAAGTTTTATGTTCAATAGTTTATGACTTTTAATCTTGGGAGGCTTCTAACACAAATTCTCAACCGGTTCTCACCCTGGTACTCGTATTATTATCTAGACTAGACTCAGTTTATATAAACTTATGATAGTATTATTTTTAACAGGTCTCCCAGTATGCTAATATTTCTTGTTCCAAGTGTTTTTTTGTCAAAATAAAAGTCATGCTTTGGATATTTATGATCTATTGAGTTCTTGAGATTGATAATTGCGATATTGTTAAGGAATTGTCTTCATATGAAATTATTGTCAAAGTGTTGATTGGACCTGCCAATACCTCTTATCCAAAAATCTTAATTCATCATCATTAATCTCATTGATTTAGATTATATTGTTCTTCTTTCTCAAAATTAAAATTTTTTTTCTATTTGAAAAAAAATTCGAGTTATAAAGAAAATTCATACTTTTCCTGTCGGGAGTCTTTTCAATCCTCATATGAAGTAGAACTATTATTTCAAGTGCTTATAAATTTTATCCAAGTGCTGATTAATAATAGTCCCGTCATGGAATGCCACATTGTCACCTTCTTCATCAACACAAGTAAAATTAATATCAATTTCCTGATCGAACCAAAAAAAGGTCAATGATCTTCTTCTTCAACTAGTCATATTCTGATCTACTGCATTTCCATGGACATGAACTATTTAAATGCATCATCATACTTTACACTAATTGGAAAATCTCACTTGTTACATATACCATTAGTAGATTGACAACTAAAAAATTAGATTTTCTATCTCCTCCCACAAAATTGACTAGTTAATGTTTTAAGTTACAGACTTTTTCAATATAATCATAATTTTTACAATAAAATATTAAATTTTCTATTATAATAAAATTAACTGTAACCCTTGGCGTTTCTTTGATTCTAATCATCAAAATTTTAATATTTCTGGTCGTCTGGTCAACCTCTTACACCATGATCTCATCCTTGGGCCCAAAATTCTATCTTATGGATTTTGTGCATTATTGTTTTCTTTTTTTCTTTCTCTTTGAAAATATTAAATTTACTTAGAAGACATGTTCAAATATTAATAGTTCGATAATTATTCAATGTATTCTCATATGTCTGCAAATAATCAAGCAATTCATTAACTGATAATTTAGATAGATCAATCTTCGAAACAACAACAATACAATCATATTTATCTATAAACTTCTTAATTTTTTCTATATTTTTTGGATCAAAATTTTACTCCCCTTGTCTTCTTCCCCAATTACTATTAAAAAAAAATACACTTAAGTCATTTTATTTTTAATTCAGAAATAAATTTTTAAAATTTCTTGGAAGAGTTTATATTCTAACGTTAATACCTTTGTATGGTCATAGTACTCTTGAAAATATGTGGGAGCATCATTTCATCAACTACCTGTAGTCTTTAGGGCATGCTGATTCTTTTCTCCCCGATGTTCCTTTGTAATTTTGACTGTATCATAGTCTTATTCAACGTTCTTCCATAATAACACTTGCTGAGAACCAAGATCAAAAAAGTAAGAAAGAATAAAAAATTCAAACAACAATGATATAAAGGAACTATAGCAATTCAAAAACAGACTGTGTTAATAAAAAAACCTAAAGACCCTGTAGCCTTTGTACTAGTGCTTTTTCCTATCATAGGGCTAAGCCTCTGACTCTTGAATAGTTGAGAACTCGTAAAATGTTTGGGACTCAAATAAGTAATCGGTTTAGGATTCACCCTCATACTCCTATGTATCTTAGGACATTAGCATATATAGACTAGGTGCATTGGCGTTATTTTTACATGTATAAGATGGAGCTTAAAGATGTCACTGTTTTTATGTTCCATAAGGTAAAGATGATATGTGTATTTAAAATCTTGTGCATTAATTTGAACCTGAGCTGACCCACACCTTGGTTAGTTCTGCTTGCCAACTGGCTTTTATATTCCTTTTGTTTCCCTAAAATTTTCTGGCAATAATTTATTGGCTTTTAAAAGAACTAACTTTTCAAATAATTTTTTATATTTTATATTCAGAAAAATTAAACTAATTTCTTTTTAAATACTTCCAATAGCATTTTCATTTAGAATGTAATTTCGATTACTACTACTCCCAAAGCGATCAATTGACTTTCAAGTCTCATCTTATTATTATGGAGATGATGTTCAACTATTGGTTGAGAGATCATTTTCTTCGTTGCCGGAAGAAGCTATATTAAAACGTTGATAGATTTTAGTACTACCGGAAGAAGATCATTAGCCTATTTCCAAGTTCATATCATTTCAAAAAAGAAAAATTGTACCATAGGATATGAGGGATATAACAAAGTATTATACTTAGTGTTAAATCCAAAATGATAGTTCTTTTTTTTTAGTCTATATGGCACTAAACAGTGGATACTAATATGATGATCAGCTTAAGTTTTATTTTTTTCTGTCTGACGTAAAACTTTGAAAATATAAGCCTTACTTGATGAAAGAATAATTATAGATTTGACACATCGAAATAATTATTTGACTTAATTAGATAATTGATTTATTAATTTGATGAGTATATGCAGCTAGTCTAAACTATTTAAACTCAAGTTAGTGACCGTATGCCTATCATATTCAAATAAATCAATTCAAGTGAACATTA